CAAAGCACCCCCACAGCATGATGCTGCCACCCCTGTGCTTCACTGTTGGGATGATGTTCTTCGGCTTGCAATGCCCCCCTTTTTCCTCCAAACATAACGATGGTCATTATGGCCAAACAGTTCTATTTTTGTTTCATCAGACCAGAGGACATTTCTCCAAAAAGTACAATCTTTGTCCCCATGTGCAGTTGCAAACCGTAGTCTGGCTTTTTTTAGGGCGGTTTTGGAGCAGTGGCTTCTTCCTTGCTGAGCGGCCTTTCAGGTTATGTCGATATAGGACTCGTTTTACTGTGGATATAGATACTTTTCTACCTGTTTCCTCCAGCATCTTCACAAGGTCCTTTGCTGTTATTCTGGGATTGATTTGCACTTTTCGCACCAAAGTACGTTCATCTCTGGGAGACAGAACGCGTCTCCTTCCTGAGCGGTATGACGGCTGCGTGGTCCCATGGTGTTCATACTTGCGTACTATTGTTTGTACAGATGAACGTGGTACCTTCAGGCATTTGGAAATTGCTCCCAAGGATGAACCAGACTTGTGGTCTACAATTCTTTTTCTGAGGTCTTGGCTGATTTCTTTAGATTTTCCCATGATGTCAAGCAAAGAGGCACTGAGTTTGAAGGTAGGCCTTGAAATACACTGCTCAAAAAAATAAAGGGAACACTTAAACAACACAATGTAACTCCAAGTCAACCACACTTCTGTGAAATCAAACTGTCCACTTAGGAAGCAACACTGATTGACAATAAATGTCACATGCTGTTGTGCAAATGGAATAGACAACAGGTGGAAATTATAGGCAATTAGCAAGACACCCCCTATAAAGGACTGGTTTTGCAGGTGGTGACCACAGACCACTTCTTAGTTCCTATGCTTCCTGGCTGATGTTTTGGTCACTTTTGAATGCTGGCGGTGCTTTCACTCCAGTGGTATCATGAGACGGAGTCTACAACCCACACAAGTGGCTCAGGTAGTGCAGCTCATCCAGGATGGCACATCAATGCGAGCTGTGGCAAGAATGTTTGCTGTGTCTGTCAGCGTAGTGTCCAGAGCATGGAGGCGCTAACAGGAGACAGGCCAGTACATCAGGAGACGTGGAGGAGGCCGTAGGAGGGCAACAACCCAGCAGCAGGACTGCTACCTCCGCCTTTGTGCAAGGAGGAACAGGAGGAGCACTGCCAGAGCCCTGCAAAATGACCTCCAGCAGGCCACAAATGTGCATGTGTCTGCTCAAACGGTCAGAAACAGACTCCATGAGGGTGGTATGAGGGCCCAACGTCCACAGGTGGGGGTTGTGCTTACAGCCCAACACCATGCAGGACGTTTGGCATTTGCCAGAGAACACCAAGATTGGCAAATTCGCCACTGGCGCCCTGTGCTCTTCACAGATGAAAGCAGGTTCACACTGAGCACGTGACAGACGTGACAGAGTCTGGAGACGCCATGGAGAACGTTCTGCTGCCTGCAACATCCTCCAGCATGACCGGTTTGGTGGTGGGTCAGTTATGGTGTAGGGTGGCATTTCTTTGGGGGGCCGCACAGCCCTCCATGTGCTCGCCAGAGGTAGCCTGACTGCCATTAGGTATCGAGATGAGATCCTCAGACCCCTTGTGAGACCATATGCTGGTGCGGTTGGCCCTGGGTTCCTCCTAATGCAAGACAATGCTAGACCTCATGTGGCTGGAGTGTGTTAGCAGTTCCTGCAAGAGGAAGGCATTGATGCTATGGACTGGCCCGCCCGTTCCCCAGACCTGAATCCAATTGAGCACATCTGGGACATCATGTCTCGCTCCATCCACCAACAGACTGCACCACAGACTGTCCAGGAGTTGGCGGATGCTTTAGTCCAGGTCTGGGAGGAGATCCCACAGGAGACCATCCGCCACCTCATCAGGAGCATGCCCAGGCGTTGTAGGTAGGTCATACAGGCACGTGGAGGCCACACACACTACTGAGCCTCATTTTGACTTGTTTTAAGGACATTACATCAAAGTTGGATCAGCCTGTAGTGTGGTTTTCCACTTTAATTTTGAGGGTGACTCCAAATCCAAACCTCCATGGGTTGATACATTTGATTTCCATTGATAATTTTTGTGTGATTTTGTTGTCAGCACATTCAACTATGTAAAGAAAATATTATTTCATTCATTCAGATCTAGGATGTGTTATTTTAGTGTTCCCTTTATTTTTTTGAGCAGCAGGTACACCTCCAATTGACTCAAATTATGTAAATTAGCCTATCAGAAGCTTCTAAAGCCATGACATCATTTTCTGGAATTTTCCAAGCTGTTTAAAGCCACAGTCAATTTACTGTATGTAAACTTCTGACCCACTGGAATTGTGATACAGTGAATTATAAGCGAAATAATCTCTCTGTAAACAATTGTTGGAAAAATTACTTGTGTCATGCACAAAGTAGATGACCTAACCAACTTGCCAAAACTATAGTTTGTTAACAAGAAATTTGTGGAGTGGTTGAAAAACGAATTTTTCTTCATTTCGAGTCTCATAGCAAAGGATCTGAATACTTACATAAATAAGTATTTCTGTTTTTTGTTTGATACATTAGCAGAAATGTCTAAAACCTGTTTTCGCTTTGTCATTATGGGGTATTGTGTGTAGATTGAGGAGGAACATTTTTTATTTAATCAATTTTAGAATAAGGTTGTAACGTAACAAAATGTGGAAAAGTAAAGGGGTCTGAATACTTTCCGACTGCACTGTAGCTCCCACTGTCGTTCGGAAGCTCCAAAAATGACGATAGGCCTTGGTCAGATTTCTCAAGTTTTTCATGTCGTCTTCTGTACATGTAATTTGCAACCCAAATCCTAGCAGAGGTGGAAAGATTTAACAGAGATAATCTACATTCACAAGCAGGGTTTACCTTACAAAATAATACATTATTGTTTCGTTAAATTCCACTTTTTAAAATACAATATAACAAATAACAAGTTAGGCCATGGTTATAATAATTAAAATACAATGAACAAAAATATAAATGCAACAATTTAAAAGATTTTACAGAGTTGCAGTTCATATAAGGAAATCATTCAATTGAAATAAATAAATTAGGCCCTAATCTATGGATTTCACATGACTAGGAATACAGATATGCATCTGTTGGTCACAGATACCTTTTTGTTTTTTAAGTAGGGACGTGGATCAGAAAACCAGTCAGTATATGGTTTGACCACCATTTGCCTCATGCAGCGCGTGAGGCATTTGCCTCATGCAGCGCATATCTCCTTCGCATAGAGTTGATCAGGCTGTTGATTGTGGCCTGTGGAATTTTGTCCCACTCCTCTTTGTTAGCTGTGTGAAGTTGCTGGAAATTGTTGGGATCTGGAACACACTGTTGTACACATAGATCCAGAGCATCCCAAACATGCTCAATGGGTGGCATGTCTGGTGAGTATGCAGGTCATGGAAGAACTGGGACATTTTCAGCTTCCAGGAATTGTGTACAGATCCTTGCGACATGGGGCTGTGCATTATCATGCTGAAATATAAGGTGATGGGGGCGGATGAAAGGCATGACAATGGGCCTCAGGATCTCGTCACAGTATCTCTGTGCATTCAAATTGCCATCAATAAAATGCAATTGTGTTCGTTGTCCGTAGCTTATGCCTGCCCATACCATAACCCCACCGCCACCATGAGGCACTCTGTTCACAACATTGACATCAGCAAACAGCTCGCCCCCACACGACGCCATACACGTGGTCTGCCATCTGCCCGATACAGTTGAAACCGGGATTAATCTGTGAAGAGCACACTTCTCCAGCATGCCAGTGGCCATTGAAGGTGAGCATTTGCCTACTGACGTCGGATACGACGCCGAACTGCAGTCAGGTCAAGAACCTGGTGAGGACGACAAGCACGCAGATGAGCTTCCCTGAGACGGTTTCTGACAGTTTGTGCAGAAATTCTTCAGTTGTGCAAACCCACAGTTTCATCAGCTGTCTGCGTGGCTGGTCTCAGATGATCCCGCGAGTGAAGATGTTGGATGTGGAGGTCCTGGGCTGGTGTGGTTACACGTGGTCTGCGGTTGTGAGACCGGTTGGATGTACTGCCAAATTCTCTAAAACTACATTGGAGGTGGCTTATGGTAGAGAAATTAACATTCAATTCTCTGGCAACAGCTTTGGTGGACATTCCTGGAGTCAACATGCCAATTACATACTCCCTCAAAATATGAGACATCTGTGGCATTGTTGTGTGACAAAACTGCACATTTTTGAGTGGCCTTTTATTGCCACCATCACAAAGTGCAACCGTGTAATGATCATGCTGTTTAATCAGCTTCTTGATATTGGCAAAGGAGAAATGCTCACTAACAGGGATGTAAACAAATTTGTGCACAAAATTTGAGAGACATTTCTGGGATCTTTTATTTCAGCTCATGAAACATGGGACCAACACTTTTACATGTTGCGTTTTATATTTTTGTTTTTTATAAATTGCTACATTTATATATTATGATTCAGAAAGTACAAAAATAAAGCTTTTATTGTTTCTGGTACATACTCATATTTCCTCATTGTTTTAGAATAATAAAGCATATAGGAAAACACATTGTCTGTTGGCTTATAGATGTTATCTTAATAAGATACATATACAATGGATTCTTGACAATACATACAAATGTTATGCTGATACAGTAGTTATTATGGCGAGTTCATTTCTCTCAGGAATGAACTTGTATAAAAACATTTTATGACACATTTTAAGCATTACCTTTGAAGACAAGCCGATTCTACATTCACCATAACCAACCAACCGTTAACACATTTAATGAATGTAAAAGAGGAGGTACAATGTGAATATATAAATACATTACAATGCAAATACCGGTGAGTAAGATGCAAATACACCCTTTCAGTGCATAAGGTTTAAAATTGGGTTGCAGCAGTAAAAGATGTGGCAAAAGAATATGAGCGTTAGTGGAAATGTATCTAAGTAGGAATTATCAGTAGGACACAGTGGAAATGTAACAGTACAGTACAGTAGCAATTATCAGTAGTATACAGGTACCAGAGTTGAACCTATAGTGCTTTTTATATTAGGGATGAAATGTCTCCGGGTCTAGAAATATCTGTCCAAGCCTGTGTAGCAGTCTAGCATACCAGTGCACACTCAAAACTTTATCTCGCACAGAGTCACAGTTCCCCCCCTCAATGTCTCTGTTAATGGGTACAGCAGTCCAATTGCTTTGTCTGTTGGAAGTGTTTGTATTCACATACACGCCCGGGCTTCTGAGTTTCTGATTCCCCCAAACTCTCAGGCTCTTTTGATGAGTGTTATAGTGAGTGGGCGTATTCGTGTGCTCTCTCTCTGCTTCTGTGACCTGCGCCCCCTGTGTGCCCTCCCCCTGAACCAGCTGGGTTACTGAGAGCAGCAGTCTCAGAGGCCCAAACGCCCAGTGTGCCAGTCTATGGTCGTCTACAAGTGCATAGCTGGATGCCAGCACCCCATCCACAAACAGAGTGCCGTGTTCAGTTAGGGGTGCGTATACTCCCCTCCCTTCCTCCTGTGATACTGAGATGATCCGGGATGGTTGTAGTCGACCGTCTTCTCCACGGATGAGTACATTGTCTCCCTGTTTGGCTCTACTGGCGAACTGAGCCTTGTACTCACTGTGGTGGAGTTTGTAGTGGGGGGCCAGGAAGACCAGGTGGTGGGGAGTGAGGGCAAGGCGGTGGCCATCTTGTGTGGTCAGGACAAGGAAAGTGGACTTGCTGTCATGGTTCTGGTGTAAAAAAAGAAGAACACGGCTGAGGACGATGTGTCCTGACTCAGACAGGGCCAACACTCTGTCTCCAGGCTCCAGGGACGCCAGGGTCTTCTGTCCGCCTCCGGCTACAGTCACCCGGGCCCAGCCGGGGAAACAGCCCCCTTTCTCCACTGCCACTGAGTGATCTGAAGGGGGGAATCCGAGTCAATAGAGAAGGGCTTCAGATGACTGAAACCCTCTATTTCCTTGAAATTATATAATAAGATTAAGACAAATAATGTTATTATATTCATCTTAATCTATAAAATATGATTGTATGTGGGGAAATGACTGGAATAAATATCATACTGTACATCTGAAGGCAAATCACAGGAAATGTGACGGTAATGTCTGTCGTATTAAATATGCTGATTATTACCCACTTGACTTACCAGCTTTGACGGAGCAGTGCACATGGTGCTTGGACTCATAGTACACAAAGTCGAAGCCAGCCTCCACAGCCAGCTGCGCTAGCATGCCGTACTTGTCTAGGACGCGGTCCGACGTTGTGATGTCCACGGCCCTCCCCTCATAGTGTAGAGAGTCAGGGGGGTGATGACCGTCCTCATCCCAGGCCTCTGTCACCCTCAGCTTCGTCCCAGGCCAGTGGTTCATCACCGCTATGGCCAGCTTGTTGAGGCAGTCCTTACAGCGCTGAGGGAGAGGGAGAGTGGGATGGAGAGGCATTGAATTAATAAAATATGATACCTTTCAATACAATGCTACTGATAAGAGTAGGATTTTATTTGGAGCAACACTTATATACTGTATTAGTTTGAAAAATAAAAACTGACAGTGTAGAGAATATGCTGTCACAATAACTCAAGTATATATATATATATATATATATATATATATATACTGTATGTCAATAGTAATTCATTTGCAACATGATTGCTTTCAATTCAATTAGCCCTCATATTCTGATGAGAATTACTAGGCTATTACATTTACATTTGAGTCATTTAGCAGACGCTCTTCTCCAGAGCGACTTACAGTTAGTGAGTGCATACATTTTTCATATGAACCCACAACCCTGGCGTTGCAAGCGCCATGCTCTACCAACTGAGCTACACGGGCCCCTATTGACAAGTATTTTCAGCATAATGGCCGGGTCTGTCGATAGAAACTCCAGGACTATCGACATGTATGAAACCCCTTAGAGTTTAATCATTCATTAATGAGGGAAAAGGAACTGCTTGAGTCAGAATGTAGTTGTGAGCCCTCTGTCTACCTCACCCACTATGACTATTCATTCACAGTCACATTCAACCCCTTGTAAAGCAATACCAAATACCACAACACTTCTGTAACTAACTGTATTCCTATCATCTCTGCCTAGATTATAGAATAACTTTGGTAATGTTTGTCTCCATTGACATCATCAGATTTTTCTCTCCTGTATTCAGTGGTTATAAAGGCCATTGCCAACCCTCTCCAACCTTTCTCAAACAATCAGAACATAAGAACACAAAGCTACTGTAGCCATTCTAGAACATTCCTTGGCCTTTTCTGCAGGGTGAGGGAATAATCAAGGCCGTTCTCTACTTCAGAAGGTTTTAGTCATGATGTCTTTCTGTGTCACCTTTTGAGACATTTGATCAGAAATGTGAACATCATGACTCTTACACCCACTGGGCTGCAATGATGCATACTGTATTATGTTTTAATGTCACACAATAGCAGTTTGCTATTTAAGAGGCGTTTACGCATTGGCTCCTGAAAGTCCCAATTACCAGGGAGTTGGAACAGAGAGTTTGTTAACCATATTTCAGAGAGAGAAAGTCAGAGAGAAAGAGAGACGCTGAGCAGCGAGGAGGCCAGGTCCAGGCTAAGTGAGAAGGCAGAGAGAGAGGGGAGGAATGTATGGGCATACACTTGAGAATGTGACAGCCAGAGTGAGAAAAGAATGAGGGACAGAAAACAAACTGGCTACATGTTTCTCGCCATGCCATTGAAGAGAGGCGATTCATTGTTATTGAACTACAATAGTCGGCTTTTCCGACGGTGCCATTACTTCAGCAGGCGAGAATTTTGTATAGGCGACCCCTTGGAGTGTCCAAACCCTATACAAAGAACGTCTTTCACATCTGGTCAGAGAGAGGGGCACATGCACACATACACACTGATGCAGACACACACACACACAGGAGCATTCACACATACACACACTGGTCCTCAGACTGGGCATCAGAAGGGCATACACACACTGAACCACAAATTTCCATCACAAATACTGTACAATCATTCAAAAAAAGGAAGGAACATAGATTCACATCATACACAACCAGTCAGGAGCGAACAAAGGACTCCAAACATCACCACACAAGTGTAGAGTAGCCTACTTTTAGATAAGAAACATTGTTGTTATGCTCAATTGTGAAGGACAGTCTTGATGTTACTAATGATTGTGATTTTTAAGAATCTGACAACTAGTTTGAAGATTACCGTAGGCCTATTGTATGCTTTAAATATCCCATGTCAAAGATCACACGCCTCTTGTAGCCTATATCGATCGATTCTCACTTGACATCAGAAGTTGAGAATACACTCTTTAAAAAACAAGGTGCTATCTACAACCAAACTGGGTTCTTTGGCTGTCCCCATAGGAGAACCCTTTGAAGAACCCCTTTTGGTTCAAGGTAGAACCCTTTTGGTTCCAGGTAGAACCCTTTTACACATAGGGTTCTACCTGGAACCAAAATGGGTTCTTCAAAGGGTTCATCTATGGGGACAGCCGGAGAACCCTTTTGGAACCCTTTTTTCTGAGAGTGTACCAGCCATTTGAGAGCAATAACAATATGTCTATTGTTCCTCAACTCAAAATACCAACATCACACTGTGGCTTCCTTGATATTCTAAAGAGGTCAGATACAAGATATGAGAGAGGTCTGTGTTCCTGTGCTACTGTGCCTGTGTCAACTCCTCAACTCCTGTTCGCCAGTCCTGATAATATTTGAATGGTCATACCGCATACTGCATACCTGACCCTAATGTACACTATGCAAGGTTACCTGCCTGGCCTCACCTATGAATCCCTCCTGGTAAGCACACACAGAGCAGGCAAGTGGAACCAGAGGAATCGTTTTATTACCAAGCAACAAAGACTTTGGTTAAAGATTAAGAGGAAATGATCACGAGTTGGAGCGCATTCTCCAGAGAGTCATATTAAATTAAATCCTGATCCCCCCCATCTTATAAAGATAGAGGGGAAGTGTGAATAAATATATAAAATAGACACCTGGGACTGGATATATTTGATGAAAAAGAAGTTCACATCAAAATACTGTGAGTAACCTGTCTAATACAGAGGCTATGAAAGTGAATCCACTATTTGATCAACTTTTCATGAGATAATAAAATTGTAAATGTAAGGACATCAGCTTATCAGACTAGAGAATAGAGCAACATGTAAATCAGTGTATACCACTACCTGCTGTAGTTAATCAATCATCCAGCAGAGGGATTTCCCCTATGAGCTGCCACATGGAACCAGTTTCCCTACACTGAAGGAGTATCCTCCTATGGTTTTATGATTGGGACCTACTGGCCTGTCTAATACTAACTACATTACTGTACCATTACCACACAGTCATGAGTGACCAGTGAGTTACAAGGGTCAATGGAAAGGGCACCAAGTGATTCTATGTGGGTCCTTGAAGTGGTCCCACAGTAAATATAAAATAAAATCAAACTTAAACCTGGAGATAATTGAACTAGATTAACCATTACACACTGTCTGAAGTCTGAACCAGTTGTACCTTACACTGACAACACTTACTGTACACACAGTCATCAACATGGATGAATGGAAAGGGCACCAAGTGGGTCCCATGGAGCAGAGAAGTTGTTACACTTAGTGTACAATCAGATAATTGAACTTGGCTAACCATTACATACACAGACTGTCTGAACCAGTCTCTGAAGAACCAGTCTTACCTTGGTCATGAAGCGGTCAGCAAGAGTTTTCTCCTCATCTTTGAAGATAATATCAGGGTTGTAGTTACACACCAGTTCATTAAAGCGTTCTGAGTTGCGTGTGATCTTGCCCTCTGCCCTCCCACTGGCACCCAGGTTGTTCTCAGAAAGTTTGGGGAAGTAGGTCTTGTAAGGCATGGGGGTGGGTTTCCTGGACCTAGGGCGGAAGCCGTACCCAGGGCCTGGTCCGCACCCCTGGACCAGGGAGCTCCATGTGAAGATGACGAGCAGGCCAAGCCATGCCAGGCTTACCCACCAGGAGGACACCTTCATTGGGGAGAGGTCTGGGTCCCTGGTATCAGTGACCTACTGTGCCCACTGAGCAAGCACCGCTTCAGGCACCTGATAGCATTTGAATGATGGTGGTCAAATCTTGGTGGTGATCCATTCTAGATCATGGGTTGTAAAGGAGTTATAATGTTTCTATAGAGCAAGGTTGGCCATTATGGATCAGAATCCATACTGAAAGGACAGGAACTCCTTTCTTCTGTAAAACCCATGTTGACCCTTTAAATTAACTTAAAAGTTAATACATTTTCTCTACTCACTACTGTATCTTTAAATTATCTTTCTAGTCAATTACTTCCCCTAATAATTTGACACTTAAACTATTTTCCTTTCCAGAGTTTTCATCCTTTATTCTGTTCACAATTCATGAAAAATAAATAATCTCATCCTTATCAGTCTTTGAGGTAGGCTGCCTGTTACCAAGCAGGTGTTTCGAGCGTCCAGTCCCCCTACCTACTGCCTCTCTCTCCAGTCCCCTGGCACTTCAGTAGCGATACGCAAACCTGACTCGCACCTCACTTTTGCGTCTCTGTGAAATATCTGCCCTGCGAATTCTCCGAGTGGCATTCTTATAACCTCATCCCATTCCTGCTTCAGCAATGCACCTCGAGAGGTTTTGTCCGTCTACTTGTGTCTCGTGTCGCGTTGAAGCGCTCCTGTCTGCGGTGCCCCAGCCATTGGGTTCTTATTAGTGCCTGGACCAGATTGCCCTCCCTTCCTATGCGCGCTCCCACTTCGAAAGCACACGCCTCCAATTCAACTTTACAAGCGATACATGATTGGCCCACTTATGTTATTGCCGGACTTTCTGTTGACGTACAGTAGGTGGCCTGTCTTTTCCCCTCCAGAGAGGCAGAGATGAAGATAACCTCATATAGGCCTACGCATTATGGTGATGTTGGTAACTTATTACGTACTTACATTTGGAGAGGTTTACCAGTGGGACTACTAGCCTACTTGTTCAACAACACATTTAACACAGAATCATGGGATACAAAGGACTTGTAAAAATAGGCATATGGTTAGTTTATTGTTTAACTTAATATAACATACTTTGTTACACGTTTACCCAATTTGTTAGATTTGAACTAAAACTCTGATATATGCCTAACTTTCCGAAATCAATAAGCATCCTAATATCCCTCTAAACCTTATGTGCTTTTGTCCACAGATCATTATTGGAGGGATTCCCCACCACTGTTATCACTCTCTTATTGGTTTATTACTAGCCTAGATGGAAGGTGAAGAGGGTCCATTATAGAAAGGCTGTGTAAGAGCAGGAGAGAGCCACTCCAGTCCTATCTGCCACACACACACACACACACACACACACACACTGTCTCTCTCTGACTTCCAGTGTTGCCTTCCTTTGTTTTTTGAGACCCAGGTTGACACTGTGGCCCCCCAGCCCTCAGACCCTGAACCCAGCGCACCCAAGACACCGGCCTGGCCACTGCTGGCTCTATCAACATATTATTTTTATCCATCTCAGAACAATAGCTGGAATTTGAGAGAGTCATAAAAAGGGGAAAGATACTGTCACAATGAAAGGGGTAGATAAGAAATGTTAAATGTCAGAATCTGTATCTCTAGGAGTCTGATACCTGTTATTATTTATGGAGGTTTAAATGAACAGGTTAGAGGTCAGAGGCCAAAATGTGTCATTACCCGTCCTTCCAGCTTCCTGGAAAATCTCCTGAACACTGTCTGTTTGTCAGTGAATACAATATACTGGCTGTACAATACTACTGTATTATAATGCCCTGTGCTGCCTCTAAAAACAATTTAGTATTTTAGGAGAGCCCTTTAGTCCTTCAGCCTATGACACATTGTGTATGACCCCATAGATATTGATACATCACTTTCATGTGCCTCTCATTCTTTCCCGGTATTCAAAGGTTGTTTCAACCAGATATCTATTACATAAAATGTCTCTGTATCAGTCTAAAAAAGACAGCAACTACACAAACAATCATAGCATAATAGTGAATATAATACAATTGTGATTTCTCTGAATCATCAAATGGATATGAGAGAATAAAACTGAGATGATGGAGCTACGGGCCAAAGAGGGAACGCAAAGGACGTTTGTTGGAAGGTTGGAGAAGCTGTTGGAGGGAAGGGTGGCGACTGCAAGCTCCATCTTCCTGTCCTTATGACAGATATCACAGTACATAATGACAAGTGTAGGAAATGCCACAGTCCGGCTCAATCAAAAGAAGAAACTCCTTTCATATGAACCAAAACAATCAGCGATATTGATATTGTTTTTTTTGGGAAAAGGACGTGGTCGGCAAAAAGAAAAGTGATTTCATCTCATCAGACATTAAAGGGAGAGGAAGGAAGAAAACATCTGTGTGTTTGAGATGGAAATAAAGTAATTATTATTAGTTTTTATTTCGGGGGGCGGTGGTGGTGTCCCCTCCCTACCTCTACACCCTCCCTCCGTCCTGGCCCTTAACAGGCTTGATCACTCCCCCAGCCCAGTTCAGGATGGGAGTATATGGCTGGGTGAATGGCTGAGTTTCCTGCACAGCCACAGCACAGAAAACGAGATCTTTCCTGCCCGGGAGGACAGGGATTTCGTCCCAAATGGCACCTTATTCCCTATATAGTGCACTACCTTAGTACAAAACGAGTGCACTATATAGGGAATAGGGTGCCATAGCCACCCAGACTATTTGCATTGACCCCTACCTACGTGTACAAATTACCTTGACTAACCTGTACCCCCGCACATTGACTCGGTACCAGTACCCCCTGAATATAGCCTCGTTATATATTTTTTTACTTTAGTTTATTTAGTAAATATTTTCTTAACTCTATTTTCTTAAAACTGCATTGTTGGTTAAGGGCTTGTAATTAAGCATTTCACGGTACTGTCTACACCTGTTGTATTCGGCGCATCTGACAAATCCAATTTGATTTGATTTGGGATTCAACCTGGGTTAGGGTTAGACTACCCCGTCTTTGTTTCAATCTCCAATGGGTGTTTTGCACCTGGGGCTCATGGTCAAAGTCAACTACAATCATGTCACACTGTCACGTTTTTCTGGTTTGCCTAAAGCTGTTAGTAATTCAAGGAAACAACTTGATGTGTTTGTGATGTAAACTAGTTACTGTAAAGCAGCAGCAGTTATGTTTTCTGAACAATGCTGGCTTTAACATCTTAAAGAAGTGTTTGTCTTGTCTCTTAGAGCTGAACAGACACTGCAGGATCCACTTCCTCAGACGGAGGCCGTTGGGAGGGGTGTGTACTTGTGTGTGTGTGTCAACCAGCGTTGGGGGGGGGGGGGGGGGAGTCAAGGAGCTGACACTATACTCCCTTGCTCCCTCGTTAAAACTGAATCACCACCCCCGTCCTACAGTCTGTCACCCTGGCCTGTTATCAGTGCAGGAAGAGGCAGGGTGGCGTGTCTAGGAGAGAGAGCGAGAGAGAGAGAGAAAGCGTGAGAGAGGGCTGCTACAGTGAAGCTGGATGATTTCTGTCTCTAGAGCTCTGAGTCAGCGGAAAGAGTCTGCTTGGTGAAGCTGTGTGGATACTGGATGCCCTTCACCTTAAAGAACCCACTAATCACAATGTATATGTAAAGCAACGCCTGGCCAGGTGTCATAATGTGTCATGTGTACATAAACATGTTTAAGGCCTCGATTCAATCAGATCAAGCAGTAACCGGATAGCTGGTGTTTTGGCTGCTGGTGTTTGGCGGTGTCTGTCAAATCAGTGAGCGGCTGATGGTGTGTCCATTGTCACGAAACCACACCGGTCCCACTCATGTAAGAAGTTCATGTAAGAAGGAGAAAGTGTAGCTATATAGAAATAATGATACTCAAATTGAAAATCATTAAACTAAATAATAAGGAGTTATATTGGCCTAATCGACATTCCAGTGTTAGAACTTGTAACAAGGCTGCATGGGATTATTACTAATGCGACACAGCGCATCCAATGGAAATGTCTGCGATAGGTATAACGCTGGGAGCCGTTTGCTGATTTCACAGCTCCAAAGCAGTTACACCTCCGACATTGCCTAAATAAAAACAATGCAACTGCTATGCAGTTGTCGGTTAAGGCAGAACTGATCGATCCCTTATGGCCGAGATTCTTTTTAACGCGTAATAATAATAATAATATGTAAATTCGGATACGTAAATATGTAAAATAATAATGCGTAAATTCGGATAGCCACGCTTGCTTTGCCCTCATGTTGGTGCTAGCAAGCTAGGTAGTGTTACGTATCAACAGCCAATCCAGTAGGGGCTGGAAACTATAGTGAGCTTCGATTGGTAAATCACAACGTTATGTCGCAGAGTATTTTAATAAAGTTCAGTTCCAAATTTGGTCCCGCCCTGTTCACGCCCTCGCCCATGCTCGCATCGCCCAAGGGTCCCTCTGCCCACTTCGCTTCCTTCATTGAAAATGAATGGGCTTCCGTTGTTTCATTGCCCCCAACGTGCTATGGGAATCTCTTGTTTGAGTCCAGGTTTCAGCACAGTTCCTCCACTCACCATAGATACAGTGCATTTGGAATGTATTCAGACCCCTGGACGTTTTCCACATTTTGTTACGTTACTGTGACGAGGTGTGAAAGAAAGAGTCAGGCGCTGGAGGTGAAATACTCAATCACTCACAAAGACAAGGGGAACAGAGGGAACACTTATACGGGAGATTCCCCGAGCCCCCCCCCCGACGCGCGGCTCCAGCAGTGCGTCGACCCCGGCCTCGGGGACAGCCAGGAGGACGCGGAGCAGGGCGAGTCGGATGGCGATGGTGGAAATCACTCAACAGGGAGGGATCGAGGATGTCCCGCCTTGGGACCCAGCACCGTTCCTCCGGACCGTACCCCTCCCACTCCATGAGATACTAAAGGCCCCCCACCCGACGCCTCGAATCCAGGATGCAATGGACCGAGTACACCGGGGCCCCCTCAATGTCCAGAGGAGGTGGAGGAATCTCCCGTACCTCAGACTCCTGGAGCGGACCAGCTACCACCGGCCTGAGGAGAGACACATGAAACGAGGGGTTAATACGGTAATCAGGGGGGAGTAACAACCTGTATGTCACCTCGTTTATTCTCCTCAGGACTTTAACCCCCACAAACCGCGGGTTCAGCTTCCGGCAGGGCAGGCGGAGAGGCAGATTCCGGGTCGAGAGCCAGACCCGATCCCCCGGGGCCTCCCTGCGGTGGCGGTCAGCATTGGCCTTCTGACGACGCACGGCACGCTGGAGGCGAACGTGGGCAGCGTCCCAAGTCTCCTCCGCGCGCCGAAACCAGTCATCCCCCGCGGGAGCCTCGGTCTGGCTCTGGTGCCATGGTGCCAGGACCGGTTGGTACCCCAAAACACATTGGAAGGGTGTTAGGTTAGTGGAGGAGTGGCGGAGAGAGTTCTGAGCATATTCTGCCCATGGCAGGAATACCGACCACTCCCCCGGCCGGTCCTGACAGTAGGTCCGCAGGACCCTACCCACATCTTGATTCACCCTTTCCACCTGCCCATTGCTCTCGGGGTGAAACCAGAGGTCAGGCTGACCGAGACCCCCAGACGTTCCATGAACACCTTCCAGACTCTAGACATGAACTGGGGACCGAGGTCGGACACTATATCCTCTGGTACCCTGTAGTGCCAGAAGACATGAGTAAACAGAGCCTCCGCAGTTTGTAGGGCCGTGGGGAGACCGGGCAGAGGAAAGAGGCGGCAGGACTTTGAAAAGCGGTCCACAACGACCAGGATCGTGGT